CATTTAAAATTCCATCTGTTCCTTCTATAAACTATTCGCAGCTCGTAGACTCTATATGGTCCACCCCCGCCGAATACGAGGTGCACGACTGTACTCCCTTTTTCAGGTATTATTAATCAACAAATCCATCACTCCTTCCAATGCCGCTATTTACCAATAGCGGCATTGGAAGGGGTGATCGGAGTTCGGCAGTTAGGTAGGCATGTACGATTGAGAACCAATTCAAATCGCGAGCAATACCATGTACACCATTTCAGGTTCGTTCTCCCCACCGCAGGAGTTCGATACAACCACCCCAGAGCCGACTTCCACATAGGACCGGGCAAATCTCAGTTTAAAACATCCAGTGCCTGAGTTCAATACACACAGGTGTCTCTTTTATTTCTTTGCCAATTTGTTATTTATTGTCACTACCTCCCTGTGTCAGGATTGGGTAATTTACGCGCCTACTGCGTAAGTACCAACTTTTGTCATTTTCCTACCTCCATATCATCTCGTCTGCTACCAATCGCCAGAGCTCAACCTCCTTCGCTGCCTTGAGGACACGTGCACGAACGTCTTCAAGGTAAGTGTTACCCATTCTGCCAAAACGAAAGTGGGCGCGAGGCGAAGCGATGAATGGATGGGCCTTTAAATTCTCAAATGGTCTCGAAATGACAAAAGTTGGCACTTTCGCAGTAATTGGCAAAAAAATAAAAGAGACATCTGTGTGTATTGAACTCAGGCATTGGGTGTTTTGAACTGAGATTTGCCCGGTCCTATGTGCAAGTCGGCTCTGGGGTGCTTGTATCGAACTCCTGCGGGGGAGAACGAACCTGAAATGGTGTATTGAGTCTTAGTGAGCCGCTATTGGCGGTTGGGTTGAACATGCCTAGTAAACGGAAACTTGATCATTCATTTTTAATGGTATGAGCTTTTACCTTTGGAAAGGAATACTGGTACAAGTACATGTTTGTTGGAGGCTGAGGAAGTTTGCTCACTACCAGATGGTATCTCAAGATTTAAGTGCAATCTTTTGTTTTGAGAAGACCGTCTCTCAAGTGGAGGTGTTGTTGTTGTTACGGTAAATGCCGAAGGGAGTAGATTAAAGTCAATTAAATTTGTCCTCTAAACTTCAGTGCTCCTGGCCATCCACCAGATTAACCGGTTTGGGACCGGTCCATCCTGGAACGTTCAGCCGGTTAACTGAACCGTGCAGAGTCGGTGTGAATTAACACTCCCACTCACCGCTACTGCACGACGTTCGTCTTCGTTAAGGATCGCTACTCAGCGGCGTTCCTCTTTTTTATTCCCGCTTGCCTCGCGAAGGAACGCTAACGATTTCGTTCCAAGCGGCTTCGTCAGCATGTCCGCAAGTTGGCGCCTCGTGTCGACGTAGTCCACCTTGATCGTAGAGCGCTCCACATTCTCTCGAATAAAGTGATGTCGGATATCCACGTGCTTGGTCCTAGCGTGATACCCAGCGTTACTTGCAAGTGCGATAGCACCTTGATTGTCCTCCCAGACCTGCGTCGCTCCCACTTGCTCGTGACCCATTTCCTTGAGAATAGCACGTGTCCACAGTACCTCTTGCGTACACAGATTCAGAGCCATGTACTCTGCTTCCGCTGAGCTAAGTGCAACCGTTCTCTGGTACTTGGACTTGAACACAACCGGAGCGCTCCCAATCATGACCATGACACCTGATACGGAACGCCTGTCGTCAATGTTGCTTCCCCAGTCTGTGTCCGTGAACGCCTCTGCCTTGACACCTTGCGCTCCACTTTGGTAGACGATATTGTGCTGCCGAGCTGTCTTCAAGTACTGCAAGACCCGTATCGCTGCCTTCAAGTGTTGCGTTCCAGGATTCTCCAGGAAGCGTGACAACTGCGTTACAACGTACGCAATGTCCGGTCGAGTGCATGTTGTGATGTACATCAGGCATCCGATCAAGGAACGGTAAGGTCTTGACTGCATTTCACGTCGTTCCTTCTCCGTGGCTGGCGACATCATCTTCGACAGCTTCATGTTTGACGCGCATGGGTTATCCAACATCTTGGCGTTCCGTTGGTTGTAGCGTTCTACAATGTCGTCAATGTACCGAGTTTGCTTGATCATCAGCGTTTCAGCTGCCTTATCATGATCAATCTCCATCCCCAGGATGAACTTTGCCTCGCCAAGCTCTTTCATCTTAAAGGCACTCTTCAGAGCGCCCTTTACTTCGCGAATCTATTCGCGTGTCTTCGCCGCAATGATCATGTCGTCCACATACAAGCACACGTACACGAATGCGTCCCCGGAACGCTTGACGTAGACACACTGGTCGGCTCCACAACTCTTGAAACCGTTCCGCAGGAACACACGATGGATAGTCTTGTTCCATGCACTTGCAGCTTGCTTCAAACCATATATGGCCTTTAGCAGCTTGCACTTCATGTCTTCAGCGCTCTCGAGACCAAGTGGAACGTCCATGTAGACCAAATTCACCAAACCACTGTTTAGGAACGCTGTGTCAGCATCCAGTTGCTCCATAATGTAGTCGCATGCCACACACACAGCGAGTACAACTCGAATCGAGTTCATGTTTGCAACAGGAGAATACGTCTCAAAAAAATCGATTCAAAACTTCTGCTTGAACCCTTGAGCTACTAGGCGTGCCTTGTAACGGATAACACGACCGTTCTCGTCACGCTTCTTGGTGAACACCCAGCGACATCAAATGGAACGCGTAGCCGTTCCACATGGAACCAACGTCCACGTTCCGTTCTGGGAATGAGAGTGTAACTCAGCCTTCATAGCCCGACTCCATTCAGCTGCTTCATCACTGGCGATAGCTTCTGCGTACGTGTTCGGCGTATCCGGGACGCCTCCGATGCTGGCCGCGTATGCCAACACTGCCTCTGCGAGTAAACAGTCTTCATCGATCCTAGGACGCTAAGGAGACGGCGGTCCATCACTACCTCTTTCAGACTGACGTTCCACATCGTCATCGTAGCCGTTCCCAAGCAGAAACACCGGTTCCCGAGGTCGGGTTGAGCGTTCCGTTTCAGGATGGAAGATTATCCGGTCCTCTTGGAACGCAGGAGGTTGTGAGCGGTACGTTGCCAGGTCCAGTCCACTCGACCGGCGTTCCTCCGGTGCGGGTAGCTGTGGTAGCTCTGCGTTCCGTTCCGGTTCAACATCGTCCATCTCAATGTCTTGAGCAGGTGCTTCCGGCTTCTTCCATCGGTTCATCTTGAACAGACCGTCGTTCCACTTCTGGAGCTGGAGCCACGGTGTCGTCATCGGTCCTTGTCACATGGATGATCGTTCCAGAAGCTGGCGACGGCGTGTCATAGATACCGCCCACCTCACGCTCGTCCAGAATTACCGATCGTGACACCTTGACCTTGGATGCATCCAAGTCGTAGACACAATACCCTTTTACGTTCTCTGCGTATCCGAGGAACGTGCACCTGAAGCTCTTGGGTTCCAATTTCGCTCTCTTCACGTCATCCACGTGAGCGTACCCTTGTGATCCAAACACACGTAGGTGCTCCATCCGTGGCTTCACTTGGAACGCCAACTCATATGGCGTGACATCCGAGTTGGATGTGTTCGTGGAACGGTTGATAAGGTACACTGCAGTACTCACCGCTTCAGCCCACCACACCGTTGACATAAACTTGTAGTGTAGCATGCTTCGTGCCTTCTCCATGATGGTACGGCTCATGCGTTCCGCAACACCGTTCTGCTGAGGGCTGTATGGAACGCTGCGTTGATGCACGATGCCATTCCGCTGACAGAGTTCCAATACCGTCTTGTTTACAAACTCCGTTCCATTATCGGAACGCAGGCACTTCAATCGTTCCCCCCACTGATTTTCATACAGCGCCTTGAACTCCTTCAGCTTGC